GGGAGCAGAGGTCCATCAGTGGCTATTAGCCACAAGGTATGGATAGGGACTCTGGGGCAAGTGATGCGCTGTCTTCTTGGTGCTGGGAGGGGTCAACAGTGGGAGGGCTCCTAGTGTCCTGGCCCCACTGCTGGACCTCCTGATGGCACCTGGTATTTTTGGCCACTGTGTGACACAGAGTGTTGGACTGGATGGGCCTTTGGCCTGATCCAACATTGGCGTCACTTATGTTCTTATGATTACCCCATGAGAAGAGAAACTGTTCTAGACCCCACATCAGGCGTGGGTTTTTCCTCAGCAGTTTCACTGAGTGATGGAATACGGGATCCCCCCTCAGTGATCCTGTCTCGCTCTTTACCAAACTGTCCCCAGTGCCAGTGTTCCCTCCAAGCTGAGTTAGCGTGAGCCAGCTCACCGTTCTTTAGCCTCCGGCTCACACTTTTTGTCTCCGCTCAGGAAGGAGGGCTCCAGAGCAAACTTGACTTATGCAGCAGCCAAATCGCTCGCTCACAACTTGAATGCCGACGGCTCACCAAGTAGGATTTTTGCTCACGAGACTCCACAGTTTAGAGGGAGCATTGGTCGCCACCCATATTCAGCCTCAGCAAACCCTAGGAAGAGCAATCCTAAATGCACTTGGGGGGGACGGAGGGGAGGACGGAGGGGAGATGGTCAGGAGCAAACCCCTTTCCTCCGGGCACTTCCTTTGTCCTGCCTCTTCATGCCCCCCCCCCCCGCAGGTGGTGGATCCCAACTGCTTGCCGCACCGCAGCCACCAGTGAAGCACGTGCCTTAATTAAAACAAGGGGGAGGAAAAGCCTAAAAATACCAGCTCCCCCCCCCCCCAGACCGCTGCCTCCTTGCCTTGCCTTGCCCTGCCCGGCCTCAGAACTACGCCAGCCATGTCTGCGGGGGCCCTCCGGGAGCAACTGGCTTCCCGACCAGCTGTCCTTCTCCCTCTCCCGGAGACATGCCGGGGAAGCGTCTAGTTCATTCTAGGCCCAGGATGTCTAGGCAGGGTCTGGATGTTTCCGAGCGCTTCTCCGAGGGGGGGGAGAGGGACGTAGGTAGGGAGAGTGATTCATGGGCAAGCAGGTGAGAGAGACGGTCCCGTCCCGCTCTCTGCAGAGTAACCTGGTGATACGTGCTTTTTCTGTACGGAAAGGGACAGAGGGGTAGGGACTGGCAGAGACTATTGGAAGGAGATGGGGGGGAAGGAGCATCGAGGGGGGAAATGTGTGGGTGGGTGGGTGCGTTCAGACGGGCCGTTTAGTCCGCTTTCGGCACGCTTCAGTAACGGATTTCATATCCACGTTCACACACACAACATCTGCGCACCGTCCCCAGCCGTTGCTTTCCGGCTCAAATCCCCTTTAAAACGGAGTTTTTTGTTACCAGGTCCCCAAGTGGTGTTTTCCTGATTCTCCGGTTCTAGCCGCACTTTTCTGACGTCTGAATCGGTCCTGCGGTGTAGAGCCACTTCCGGTTTAAACCCTCCCCGCTGGAAACCCCCCCGAGCTTCCGTTTTTCCCCCGCCATTTTTTTAATGCGTTGGTGGTGTGTGCATATGTGTAGCTCCGCCACCACGTTTAGAAAACCGACATTTAAACGGTCACTTGTTTTAGTGTTTAGATGAGTTCGGGATCTCACAGAGGCCATTTTCGGGTCAAACATTTAAAGGGAAGTCTTTTGTTGGAGGGGTTGGATTGATTCACCCTGGTGGTTCTGCGCATACACCATGACTAGTTTCCCCCCCTTCTATGGAGGGGCACCTATGCACATGCACAAACTGAGAAAAAATTTTTAAAACCCTGCCGACACATGCTCCCACGCGTCAGTAGTGTAGACGCCGAGGAGTGACATGGCTGCGCAGTGAGGCGGGATCAGGGGGGTAAG